AAGCACACACATGACGCACACCCAAACACATCTTGCTCAACAGAACCATGCCTACAGAACCCACCTGATGTACTGGATTTTCTCCTAAAGGCCAAATGTAGCTTGGCCTTGTTTGTAACTCTTTGGGGAGAGAAATTGCCAAGAACTCTAAGAAGTCGATCAGGATGGCAGAGGAAAGGCCTAAGCAAGCTTCTTGGATCTGCCTGTCAGAGCCAGGAGAATAAAACATGTTTCTCCTCTAAACTTCCAGAAGCTTCACTGGACTCTGACCAGTCAAGATAGAAGGGCTTGTTTTTGTTGTTTGTTTGCTTTTGTTTTTAAAGAGGTCTGGAGGGGATGATGGTGAGCATCAGAGAAGAGATACGACTTTTGGTAATAAATAGACCCCTAGGAAAATTTAACAATAAAAGAGGTGGGAAAATTGAGCTTCAGAGAGTTTAAATATCCTACCTCCAGGAAGCAAGCAGCAGCCCTGGAATGGGGTCCCTCGTGTTCTCATCTAATCTAATAAATCTAATAACCACAGCTGTAACAATACAACTGGTTCAGTGTCATGGAGACATAGGCTGATTGACTGCAGCTAATGAGTAATGAGTTGCTATGAAAGCTGGGCATATCTATGGATAGGAGGGGGTTAAACTAATAACATTCTCTAGTGGTCATATCAGAATTCAAATTATCAAAATATTCCACATCTGTCATAAAGGAAAAATCTAAAGGTAGCACAGGAAAAACCAAAAAAATAAAAAATAAAAATAATAGACAACCGCCTGGAGTATTTGATGAAATTAAAAAGGTGACAGAAAATCAGTATTCTTTTTTTTTTTTTGTGGAGGGGAGGGACAGAGGGAGAGGGAGAGAGAGAAGCTTAAGCAGGATCCATGCCCAACATGGAGCCCTACGCGGGGCTTGATCTCAACCCTGAGATCATGACCTGAGCCGAAATCAAGAGTCAGACACTTAACTGACTGAGCCACTCAAATGCCCCAGAAAGATCAGTATTCTAAATAGAAGGGAAAATAACAGATACAAAAGAGATTAAAAAGATAATAAAATACGACTTTTGACAGATTTATGATAATAAATTTGAAGACTTAGATGAAATGCACAAATTCAGAGGAGAAAAATAAACTTACTAAAACTGACCTAAGTAGAAATAAGAAGTGTGGCTAGTCCTATAACACTTGGAATGGAAACACTGGTTAATATTCTTCCCACAATGAAAACACCAGAACCAGATGTTATCAGTGAATTCTACCAAACTTTCAAAGACAGACCATTTAAATCTTACTCAAACTATCTGAGAAAATTGACAAAGACAGAATCTCCCCCAATTTAATCTGTGAAGCTAACATAATGTTAATAACAAAACCAGACAAAGAAAATTTCAGAAAGGAAAACTGCAAACTCATTTCATTCATAAATATAAGTGCAAAATTCTAAACAAAATATTAGCAAACCAAGTCCAACAATATACACAGAAGACAGTACAGCTTTGGTCTGGGGGACCTGGGGGACCTTGCCTCAGAGGATTTCTGATAGACTTTGCCTTAGGGCAACAAAATTTAAAGTATATAAAAAATTTTAATAATTTTTTCAAATTATGCAATATTAAAGGTGTTATTTGTACTCTTTCAGCCTATAGAATACCATTGAATTTAATACCTAGAGTAAGCAAAGCATATCACTATAGTAGCACTTGTCTATAAGCAATATCATGAATCACAAAATTGATCTGAGATATTTTTCAGGCTGCTTGCCCCAGGCTTGTTAAAACTCTGGTTTTAGTCTCTGCCAATGAATACCTGGGTTCTAGTGTTCTATCACAAACAATGGTTTGTCCCTTGCATAAGCCAAAAAGATTTCTGGCTTAGATCCTTCTCTAAGGGCAGGCAGATATGCCTTAAAATATTTTCTGGCGATTATTTTGAGGTTCATATCGCTACTCAGGTAAAGCTGCCTTTTAGAACATTTCTGAATATGTGCTAAATATTATCCAGTTGAATATTTACAGCAAATATATGAGTTATGTGTCATTAGCCCCATTTAACAGTTGCAGATACTGAGGCTTAAGGAGGTCAGGAAATGTTCCATGTAGCCATTTGTGGAGGTCAGAAGCATAAGCCAGATTGGTCTGACTCGAAGCCTGTAATCCTTTAGCTAAACTATACTGGTTCTTGAATTACCCAATAAGCTTCCTGTTTAGTTTGAGCTTTCCATTCACAACACCCGCAACCTCCTCCCTCATCTTTCCTGCTCCTAGATTAGATCTCAGAACAGAGATAGTGTTTTAGAACAGGAGGAAGGGTTTAAGTCATCTGTTCAGTTCAATGGCTACTTCCCTTTTGAGTTTTGAGCTTCACTCTGCCCTTTGCTTGGCCCTCGGCTGTCTGCAAAGAAGGTGGGGTGAGGGGAAGATGGCGGAGATATGGATAAATTGGAAGATAGGAAAATATCACGAAGGTTGCCACCCCATACAATGATTCTAGGGTGTTAGACATCAGCCAGTTCCCTCTGTCCTTGCTCTCTTTGTCTGTTGCTGGAATGTCTGCCTTGGTTGGAAACAAGAAAGGGAGATACCATTTATGGTATAATTTTTTTTTATAAGAAGCTATAAATATATTACCTGGTTTAAAACACACAATAACCCCATGAGATTAGTATCGTGAAATGGGAAATCCTGGCTATGAATTACAGACTGAACGCTCTCACTATTCATGGACCTGGCCATCCAGGTTTCCCTCCTTACAAACGTGCCATGGAAACAGCTGCAGATGGAGCCAGACATCTTGAACCAGAGAGTTCAAAGTATTTCTGCATGGAAAAATAGAAGTGTTTTACTTTCTCTTAGGCTCCAAACTTTTCACTCCTTTTTCTTTTTTGTTCAACAGATAATGCTCATCTAAAATATATTACCTTTTAGGATAAGCATACAAATCATGCAGGCCCAAGAGGGCTCTGATATAAAATAATCAAATACTTACAGTCTAATATGCTCTCTATAATAACAGAGGCAGAATGCAAAAAAACAAACTTACACCATTACAGCAGTGTATTGTGTTTGTCAAGTATCAAAAAAAAAAAAAGACTTCCTTTCTCTTCTAGTGTAATGCCCCCAAATACTTCTTAAATGGATATTATGCTTTAAGAAAGTCCACCCACATCAAACTATATACTATACTAATTACTTCCCAGAAATGGTTCCTTCTACTTCAACAATCATTTACAAACATTAAGACATATTTCAGTGAATCATACCCAGAGTTCATGGAATTGTAGATTTATAAGTGCATTATACTTGGAATGAATTTTCTACCAGAACTTAGAAATACACGGCATTATTCATACAGTGAATGAAGCATATCCAATTCTAAATTATTCAATAATGCCTGTTGCCAAAGCAAAGAGGTAGGGAGAAAAGCACAGGAATTACTAAATCTTAGCTATATATGCATTTCTCTAATATGATGAAAAATTAATTATGTGGCCACTTGGAAAGTTGCAGCACAAAGATTTCACATTGTAAGACGTAGAATAATGATAAACCCATTAATACCACAGAGACATTTATTTCTCCTTTAACCAAAACTGTGAATAATAGGAAACACTCATTGGTAATTCATAGATACTTATGAAATGTTTACGAACGACCACACTTATGCCTCACGACAACGTGTTGTACACAGGAAGAAGCGGACGCAAAGACAGGCTTGCTGAGCACCATCACACGCACAGTTAAGTTGCAGAGGGGGAATCTGAACCCACTTTATGACTATAGCTCTAGCCATTCACCATTATACATGCTGTGCATCTGAGATGCCGGTCCCCTTCTCTTGGCTCTTTCCAGCATCCAGCAAGTGCTTTCGGAAACCCATGTCTACTCCCAGGAAGTAAAGCATCTGAAAATGCATTGACCACTGAGTGGACTAATATCAATATCATTATTCTTGGATATTGCGCTAGAGTGGAAAACCTTAGACTTGAGAGTTAGGACCCCTGGCTTGAGGCATAGCTCTCTCCTTCAGTTGCATGATGATGGACAACACATTCCATCTCCCTAAAGCTCAGCCTCCTCATCTATGTATACCCATAGAAATCATAATTTTTAAAATTTAGGCATGATTTACATAGAGTGAAGTGCACAGACCTTAAGTGTATCGTTCAGTAAGTTTGGATGAATCCATATTAAGACACAGAACATTTCCATCAGCCTAGAAATTTCCCTCATGTTCCTTTTCAGTCAACTGTCCCTCACACCATCCCACAGAAAAGCAACCTGATTTGCTTTTTTTTTATTTTTTTTTAAAGATTTTATTTATTTATTTGAGAGAGAGGATGAGAGGAGAGAGAGAGCACATGAGAGGGGGGAGGGTCAGAGGGAGAAGGAGACTCCCTGCTGATCAGGGAGCCCGATGTGGGACTCGATCCCGGGACTCCAGGATCATGACCTGAGCAGAAGGCAGTCGCTTAACCAACTGAGCCACCCAGGCGCCCGCAACCTGATTTGCTTACTCTAGAATTTTCTATAATGGAATTATACAGTACGTAGTTGTTTGTGGGTCTCTGGCTTCTTCCACTCGGCATAATGTTTTTGAGATTCACCCATGCTGTATAGTGTGTAATAACTGTCCATTCCCAATAATAACAATATGATATAAGCATTAAAAGAGATAATGGACATTATTACCAATTAAAGGCTCTCCCCCCAAATAGTTATTATTTAAAAGAGGAAACCCAGGAATAGGAGGGGAGGAATATTTAAATCTATCACAGGCTGGAAGACATTTGGAGAAAGGGGTTCATTATTAGTGGCTCTCATATCGCACCCTTTATATGTTTAAGAACACCGATGGCAAAAACACTTATATTTGATGTTTTAAGTGAAAGTGGATTGAATTTAGCCTACCGGACCAGAAATTAATTTTCTGCCATGCAGAGACAACTTTGATAGCATACCTTCCCACCGTATTTCTGAAACGTCCCCCTTTTGCCCACCACAGAGATGGAGGTCCGCCTACGTCAGAAGATTACATCTGAGAGACCAGCAAGTGCAAAGCCACACATTAACGCTAGCCTGCAGCAGAAGCCAAAGTTTATGCTGTCAGTTCTGGCCAGCTGTATAATTCAATTTTTCCAATGAAGCAGGAGCCTGGCCCTCACAAGCACGAAACCAATACTGCATTTCACAGAAGGCGATTTGGCCACAATAAATAAATCCACGCTCTAGAAGGAAACAGAATCATTGAGACGCATATCTTAAGTCCTTTCTTTCTGGCAGAGGCATTCTTCCCTAAAAGCACGGTGTCATGGGGAAGCAGGTATCATTCCCAAAAGGTTTTTCCCAACTACCAGTCATAGAGGGTGAGGTAGAAATATTCCAACTCCAATTCCAAACTCTCAAGCAAAAAGTTCAGAAGCCAGATGAGTTTTGGAAATGACCCCTTGTTCAGCTTGTAGCTCAGGCAAGGACGCCCTACAGAGAAACATGAAAGTATACAAAGTTTATCAAAATATAAGCCACATTTAGAGCAAGGTATAGAAGAAATCTCCTCAAAGTTCCCGCAAGCCTGTGGGTGTAAGTTTCTACCCTGCTTCCTGCAGAAACAACATCTGTTCTTACATTCAACACAAGCCACCTCTGATATTTATTGCATTTGCTGAATGCTGAAAGCATCTGAAATGTTAAACCTCTTGATCTGTCGGCAGTCGGATTTCTGAAAAGAGAAGCTACATAATAGCACAAAATGGAGAAATTTCATGTACCCAAAAGATATAAATCCCCAACACAACCAAATTCTCTTTCAATACACAACTGTAAAAGTTGTAGAAAAGACGTCCAACCTTTATCTTATAACATTCTCTTCATTTTCCTGTACACACATAGCTCCGTTTCCTTTAATGAGGTACATCCAAGGTCATTCAGTCATGACTTAACCCATTCACTTCTCCAGAACAGGTTTAGATTAAATGCAGGAAGAGTAGAAGCATGTGTTTGGTTCTCATTAAGCTCACAATATCCCTCTGGGAGAAACAGAGGTTCATTAACCTAACTGTTAATGAAGGATAAATTGCTTATATTTAAGTGGGGGTTTACATTTTATTTTTATCCAATGCTCCAGTGTCTCGATTCTCATCAAAATGTGAGGCTGGCAGTTACTCAACAGAGCCCAGAAAACATCAGCAAATGAGTTTGCTTCATATGAGTTGTGCACCTGGGGGAGAAAAGTGGTTAAAAAAGGAAAAAAAAACAGACTTGGGTTTTATGATTTAAGGACGTCCCCTTTAAAAGAGTAATAAACAAAAGATGCCCCTAGAATGTATGAAAAACAAAGAACGTGGTTGGGACTTGATTAAACATCTATGCAAGATTTCATGTGATGTCAAGCACTGAGACACAGTTACTTGGCACAGACCCAGAGGCTGAAGTAACAAGTAAGGGAGGGGGCACTGCTTCTCCATTGTCTTCTCCTCCTCCCCATCTCATATCTCGGAAGCATCCCCTGTATTCATGATCCTGTCCTGCTTGCATAGCAGTGGAGGGAAATATTCTGAGAAACTAATCAAGAGTCTGGACTAATCAAAAAGCCTGGTCTCGAACTCATCAAGGAACTAGGGTTTCTGGAGAAAGCAATAAAGAGAACCAGCTTATAACAATCTGTGCTGGTCCTATTTTATCTTGGGAAATTCCTTCTGATTTAATCTAAACACAATCCCTCAGTCCTCTTAGAACCCTGGGACTCTTCTTGGGGAGTTATAATGAATGGTTTAAATCATCTCTCCCACTGGATTCTGGGCTCCTTCATAAGGGAAAAACCTCAGGTCTTTCATCCCTGTTGTTTTAGGGCTGAGCTCATAGTTGGTGCCCAATAAATGTTTGATGAATGTATGAATAAATAAATGAGTGAATACGGGGAATAAATTTTTCTACCTCAAGCACACCTGCCATAGACTGCCTGCCTGAGGATAGAGAATACACTCTGTGCAGAATTCTATTATTATTATTGATTATTTCCCCTCAAAATATACTTCAAAGTGTTTGCAGATATTAGTAACCTTAAATTTGTATCCCTATTTAAGCTACTCACATATTATACTGTTACTTTCTTCACACATTCACACAGAAAAGAAATGATTCCTTAGCCAACATTCTAGGCAAACTATCCTACCCTGTGAAAGTCAACACTTTGCAGATTACACGTCCCCCCCAACACTTTGCAAATTACATGTCCCCCCTCCCTTGGGGAGGATGCTAAAAGTTAAGATATAGGTCCCTGGTTCTGGACAGGTGATGTTCAGGACTTTAACAGGTAATAAGAAGAAAATAAGAACTTTTAACAAGGAGAAATGCCCACAGCTACATGCAGAGTTCCCTCCCATTGGAGGCTTCTGGCGGAGGTTGGAAGTCTACAGAGCAGCACTGTGGAGAGGACCCCAACATCACATTTCCGTTAAGACGCCCCTGACCTTCCCTTCAACCCGAAATCCTAAAATTTCACAATTTAGCAGTGCAAACAGAAGTTTTTGCTAGTACTGTGAAATAGTTTTAGGGACTGCAGCAGGGCAAAGACCAAGAGGGCTCAAGCCTGGGCTTCTCTGAACAGCAATGTCCTTACTGATCTCCTCTCCGGAGTCTTCATGAACTTGAAAATTCTAGCCAAGGGAGCTAGTCCTCTCTGCAGAAATCCTTAGGTTTCCCCAGAAGTGACCCTTTTGTTCATAGTACAAGGCCCTCCAACGTGTCACTGAATCTTCCCCTGGCTCAATGCTCTCTACGCTTTCCCGTCAAGCACTTCTTCCCCTGTGGAAGGGGGTTCAGCCTTCCTTGCAAACTAATCTCGGGCCTGTAGGAGACGGCACAGGAAAACGGGAGGCAGACTGATTAGAATGTTCTGATTCTGATCCTCAGGCCACCAAGGACCTCACTGATAATGGAAATGCAGTTTAATGTTCCTTTCAGTTCTGCCTAGAGGATATGAAATATCACCTGCTATCCCAGAGCCCGAGATGCAGCCCACTGAACCCCACTCTAACGGGCCCGCTCTCTATTAAGACTGCTCTCCCAACTACATGAGTCGGGAGCTAAGACACTGAGCCCTCGCAGAAAGGCAGCCCAAGCGAAAGGAATGCTTGGATGACTCCAATGGCCCAGGGAATGTGACTAAATCTCCTGCTCATCAGCTGCTTTTGCTGTTGTTGTTCCAACTTTGCCACCACACGTTCTCTCTGATTTCAGTTTTACTAATAGAGATTCTCAACTAAGCGTCCAGCGCACTGAGGTTTGCCTTCTCCAACACTTAGAAGTTTCCGGCTTTGCTGCAGAGGCTGGACGGGAGTCTACACAGTTGGCTTGCACCGTCAGATGGCTCCTTCCTCCGGCCCAGGTGGTCAATGGTCAAGGACGATGTGCTGGGTGGAAGAGAGCTGGGGAGGGTCAAGGCAGACTGTCTACTGTTTTGCTCAAAACAAACAGCGCCAGGGTCAGAAGCTGCTTATTCAGTCCCCACACTTTTAGAGAGAGCTCTTTAGTGCATTTTAGAGAAAACAAAAATGAAATGGGAAACAGAACCCTCTGTCCTCAAGTGGCTCAAAGAAGAAAGCACTTCAATGGTGCCTGAGGACAGGCTCAGGGTAGAAGACAAGAGGTGCTGGATGTGTCTACCCATCAGCCCAGAACAGTCCTGCCCTCTGAACCAGGCAAGAGAGGCCACTGCCCTGAGCTCTACTCCTAGAGGGCTCTGCTCTGGTCCTTCTCTAGCCAAACTCTTCCCCAAGGGGTGAGAGTCCTCCAGGCCAAGGGGATGCACCCACTTGGAGCCTGTGTCCCCCTTCAGGACCCTGAAATTTCCTGTCCAAATGGCCTCAAGCTGGCTCCACAGCATGTAGGCATCTCTCCTCCCCATCTGTCCTGAGGCTCACTGCGCCACAGTATGCCACCCCTCTAGGCTCCAGAGGGGCAAAAGGGACACATGCTTGCAGGGCCAAGGTGTGGACACAGCCTGTGTGGGCTCGGGGGGTCCATCCGCGTGAACCAAGAGATTTTGGCACCTATGGTGCCAGGGTGGAAGAGAGAGGATGCAAGCTTCAGGCAGGCCCACTGCTCCCCTAGCCCCCCACCAGCTTTCCCTCCACTACTTCCCGGAGTAGAACTCCAAGGGATCTGAGATTCTCAATATAGCCCAGCACGGCAGGTGGCCAGATAGATTTCATCTTATGTTTAGAAGTTTGATAGATAGCGTTAAAATAGTATGTGAACCTCCATTTTCACCCACGCCCAGCGCTTCGAAGATACTAGGGTCTGGTCCTAATGCCCACCCTGCCCTGCCCCCCACCTGCCCACTAACTGCTTCTGGGAGGGAAAGGGAAAGAAAGACTAGCATTATTCAGGAGGTGGGAAGTGAGGGGGTTAGGGGGCACGTGGGAGGTACTATAGAGCTCCTCGAACCAACGGAGAAGTTAAGGAAAATTAAAATTGCCAGAAAGAAATCAAAATAGAGCACCTTATTCCCCTGCGTTTCTAACTCCAGATGTTACAAGCACTTAGGCAAAAAGGTGTCAATCCTGTATAAGAAAGGAAGAATACGGGGCACCTGGGTGGCTCAGTCATTAAGCGTCTGCCTTCGGCTCAGGTCATGATCCCAGGGTCCTGGGATCGAGCCCTGCATCGGGCTCCCTGCTCGGCGGGAAGCCTGCTTCTCCCTCTCCCACACCCCCTGCTTGTGTTCCCTATCTCGCTGTCTCTCTCTCTGTCAAATAAATAAATAAAATCTTAAAAAAAAAAAAAAAAAAGGGAAGAATACTCTCTTCTGCCTTGACAAACAGCGGGTGAAGAAAAAGGCTTGCATCACACTGGAGAGATTCAACCGAAAAGCAGCACCCACAGTAATCCAAGTTTTCCACAGCTGGTTCCAAGCGACCGTCCCCCACCTCTCGCTCACGGCACCCTGCACAAATTCCCACTGCAGGCACATCCCTACTTTGTGGACACACAGACGATTGGTGGGCCAGGCCCGTCTCTGATTCACTCAGGCTGAGAGGGCCCCGGGCTGATGTTCCTGCCCCGGGTCTGCTGTACGCAACGTTCTTCCCAAGCTGTGGCACATCCAGTGCAAGAAGATGGGCCTCAGTGTTGAACTCACTGTCTTCGTTTTGCTCTCCCCGCCCCCAAAAGCAGAGCCTGAAACAAGGACTTGGGTGCAGGTGGCTTATTTAGGAGGTGATTCCAAGA